CGCCACCCGCCAGGGGGCAGGCGGGGCGCGAGCGCCGCCGCGCGCGTGTCCCGCCCTCAGAGAGACACCTCAGGGCGGTGGAGGAGAAGGAGGAGGAGGAGAAGAAGAAGGAGGAGGAACTCGAAGACTGACTGACTTTCTTCTCTCCTGGTTCTTTACTACCCCCTATTACGCCACTTGATACCCTTGGGGGCACAGCGGGCCGGTTTTCAGGCCCTAAAAACCTTTCTCCGAACTTTTATTTGAGAAAAAAAAAAAAAGGCAGATTTGGGTAAGTTGCGGAGGCCTCGGTGATTTGCGCCCGTTTCTTGAATAGAGAAGTTATTTGCTGGGTTTGTTGGTTTTTTTTTTAATTATTTCTTTGCGTAGTCATGTACTCAAAAGCCCACTCTCCTGTTAAGGAGTGATTTGGAGCGTTTTTCGCTCCTGCTTTTTTAGCATAATAGGGCTTTAAATTGCTGAAAGAGGTGCTTAAATACGCAGGGAGAACTTGAGATACCTGCAGAAGGTTGGTTCGTGGCTTTTATACTGCAGGGTAGGTAAGTAATTCATAAGCTGGTTAGGACGTGTTATGGCATTTCTGTAACCAGTGAGTACTCTGTGTTAATGAAGGGATTGGAAAACTTCAATACATCCAGTACAGCGTTTGGTCATTATTGCTAGGATCTTATGTTTGTGGGTGCAGCTGAAGTGTATCGTACAGCAGGGGCACATCGTCACCAGCGACCCAGGACCTTACCAAAGTCTGTTGAACCCAAGACTTCTTTTACGACCGGTAAGGATGTGGGCAGCAGAAGTGCTGAAATCTGGTAAATACACTTTGAAAAGCATTTTTGGACGTGCAAAGTAAATAAACAGTGTAACTTTTGAAGCTGGTTCAGCAGAGAAGGCTGCTTTTCTCCTTTCAGGTGTGTTATGTTTTATTTATATTGCTGTGTGCCCGACACGCTTGGTCGTGGCCCAAGACCATGCTGTGTTAAGTGCTGTGCAAATATAAGGTTGGGGAAATCCACCCAAATGCACCTAAAAACTGTGGGTTTGATTCTGAGGTGATTGTGATTTATTATAGGAAATGAGGTGTCCTGTGCTGGACACTGCAATATGAAAATGTCTTCATAGTGGGAAGTAGCATGTAACTGTGTCTCCATTAGTGACCTTACTGCTTTGTGCTAAGATTCATGAAGCGTGGGGTTTTGTTTTTTGTTGTTTTGTGGGTTTTTTTCTTTTTTTTTTTAAATAAGGGAGCTAGGAAATTTAAGAGGAATTCTCCTTAAAAAAAAAAACACAAACAAACCAGGAGATATGAGCTTGTTTATTTTATGTCTAAAAAGGAAAAGTATCACAAAGAAATTCTATAGCTTTGATGTATTTTGGTGATAAATTAGAATAATGTGGTGGTGTAATTTATTATTTTTTAATATTATTTTTAAGCAAGCAGGATTCCAAGGGAGAAAGGGAAAGCTTCTAGGAGGGTTTAATGATTGTGTCTAGGTCAGAAATAAATAAATAAACAGTACGATTGTGCGTTAGGAGGTTTTGTTTGCTTGTTTAGGTATCCTGACCTTTCAAATATTGAAGTCCTGATGTGGAAGTTTTTATACAATCCCCCATAGGTAGAAGAAGAATGTGTGTGCAGGTCTGTGTTGAGACCCCTGATACAGTCGGCGTACTCATGGCTTGTTTGTGTATATAGTGAACTAAGTACTTCTGAAGAAAATCTTCATTGCAGTGGTTGACATTAAAACCAGTATTTGCCAAAGTCACTGACACGTTGACAGTTTCCCCCATCCAGATAGGCAGAATGGAAAATGAGGAGTAGGTGGAATACCACTCTGAAAACAGTAAGCCAATACTGATTTCTAATGGCCCTTATAGCATGTTATTTATGCTTCCAGAAGCCATTACTAGCAGCAATTAGGGTCATTGGGGGTTCTTGTAAAGCAGCCATTAAACTTCTTAATTTTTTTCTTAATGAAGCTAACGTCAACACCATTAAGAGTAAGCAAGGAAGATACTTCATTCCCTAATGTATATGGATATTTACGTTCTCATCCTTTGTGCTAAGTGAAAGAGCAGGTGCTTGTTGAGAGCTAATTAGTTTAGGTGTTAGCCTAGAGACAGATGATCATTGTCTTCTGTTAATGTGGGTGTTTGTGTAATTGCCAGTTGCTTTTAGATTAAAAAAAGAAAAAGACAATATTCCCTGTGGAATTACCAAAAAAAAAAAATATTTCTAAATTGAATTCTTAGATTTATGCTTGGGTTACATCTTTGACTTGGGTTTAACATTACAGAATTTATTGAAATGACTGGTTCTGATTTTAATTTATTACAAAGGCTGTAAAACATAGGCTGCACCCAGTGATTGCTCACTCAGTCTCATGGTTTGTGTTGAAGCTTTTTATCTTTCTGGAAAAGGATCCACTCTGCCTGGATTTGTTTGGTGTTTCGGGTTAATAAAATATAGTAGTCAAACTGCACTAAGCATCTGCAGGGCTTTTGTAGTGAAAGCGTTACTTGGGACTTTCTCTATATAGAACTTTTTTTTCAATTTTTTTTTTTTTGGTAATTCAAAGATTGTTTTATTGTCGTAAGAAATAAACCTGGGAATTGAGGCATGCAAGAGCAGAGAGCCAGTGGAATTGGTGGTGTCCTCTGGGTGCTTTAACTGGCCTAGGTGTGAGGACCCGTATTCACTAGCAGTGAGTGAGCGTTGGCTGCTGCCTGCACTGCTCCCCTGTTTCTGCTGTTTTTTGGGATGGATTTGGTGCTCTGTGTAAGAAGCATGCTGTTAAAGTGGAGTTACAGACCATACTTAAACCAAAAACAGGTTTTCAGATGAAAACTGGAACCTGACTGAGGCAAAGATAGCTCCTTTCCTCTCTAATTAGAGCCCAGTCATATTCAAATTCTTAAATTCAGCCTCTGGAAAGCACCATTTGAAGAGCTAACCGGCTCTTTCAAAGACTTAATACTGCGTAAATAGGGAGATAATCTATTATAGCATCTGCAAAGTTTCAAGATGCTTATTTGCTAAGCTGGCAGGATGTTACAGTGTGAAATAGTTTGTAACCACCGTGCAGTTAGATCATCTTGTATTAAAACACGGAAGTGCAACTTCTTCCTTAGATCATTATGGTAAACTACACGAGCAGTCAATGCCTTGGGTTTGCTGAAAAACATTTTATATTTTACATTTTGAAAACAGTAAAGACATTAATCTGGCATTTCCTCATACTCTTATTTAAAAAACCACAGAACTTTCACAGGAAAAAAATGCTTTCTTTTTAAAAAGTGGAAGTTTTATAACCCTTTTATCTCATAATAAAAAAAAATTATCATCATTATCTCCAGAAACTTGCAAATCACTTTAACTATTACTGTTGCTTGCCTTTTGCCTCTTATACCATCCTGTCTTCCTGAATCACCTCCAACAGGATCCAGGCTCTGTTTTGGGGTGCCAAGCAGCAGGGTTGTTCGTATATGGAGGCAGAAGAGCAAGCAATGCATTTGTTCTTTCCTTTGGAAGTGTCTTTCTTTGCTCAATAAGCATAATATGCAATAGTGTAAATATGCTGTAATAATATTTCCTGCCCATCATGTGTAGGTTGCTGATGCTGAGTGATCTCTCTTCAGAGTTAGTAAAATTAAGGTGTAAAAGGTGAAATAATTTTGTCTAGGTTTTACTCAAAGGCAAAATTTAAGTAGAACATGGGGCTGCTGTTCCTTTTATAATGCTTTACCTCAATAGCTTGGAACTATGACATGTATCTTTCAAACTTACTTGTTTTGTGTAGCCTGTTTTCCGTAGCATTTTTATAAAAATGAAATAAACCACCCCCTCTGTGGCAACCAGGCTGCTATTTTGATTTTTTACAGCACAAGCCCTGCAGTTCAGAGGCTTCAGGTCTGTTGGTGCTTTAAAGGCAGAACAAAGTCAAATCTGGCTCTCATGTGACGCGGGGCTGCACATACCACTTTTCTTAAGAGCTTCCTTCACAGCTAATGGCCAAAATGTTCCTCTCCTTTACAGCAGTTCTGCAATCCTCATTTCAGCATTAAAAGTAGCTTCTGATCTGTAATTAGAGAGAAGGAACAAACAGGGTGTGTTTAACTTCTGTTTCTGGGCATAAAAACTAAGTGAATAAGTAACGCATTCTAGTTAAAAACAGAAGTAACAAAGATTATCAAGGCTGTAACTAACAGTGCAAGTCAGAGCAAGGTGACAAGTTTCTTTGAATAGGACGGGCTGTTTCTGGCGATTCTCCCTGAAGTGCCCCAGTGCTATGTGTATCTTTGCAGGGCCCTCTGGTAATGATAATTGAGCAAAATCAGTTTCCAACTCATTCTCCTATGTCCCGCATCACGGTTTGCTTAAGAGTAGTGACAGGGCTTTGTACCATCTTCTGATCTGCGTGATGCAGAAACATGTACTGTTTGATGTGCCAGTTGTCAGTCAGCCCGCAACAAAAGGAATGTGTTTTTCTGATACGTTCAGCAAGTATTGCAATAAATTCTTTTTTAATAATGCTGCCTTGAACATGGATGATTATAAAGCCACAAGCATACTCTTGTAATATAATCAATACGAAAAGTGTTTTAAAAGGACTTTGATTAAATTGGAAGGTCTTAATAGTGCATGCTTTGTTTCAAGGAAGGAGACAATATTATAAGTGTTTTATAGGTAGATAAATGTAGAAATAGTCTACATGTGACTGTATAGCTTTGGTTTTAATTTGTTACTTTCCACCCTATGAAATTATGTTATGACTAATAATGGAGAGTTAGCATTTCATTGAGTTGAATAAAATCTTTCAGTAAGATGGTCTTAATTTGTAATATAGCCTGTCTTTTATTGTTTATATGATGTCCAATCTGTGACGTTTTCTGCTGTATTTATACAGAAATATAATACATTCATACTAGAGGGTTCTTTTAAAGAGCTAGTTGATGACCAAACCACCTAGCAGTGACTAATTCTTACTCAGATACCGTTTTCCATCCAAGTAACCAAAATGGTGAGGAAACAAGGGTGCCAAAAGAATGACAAAGTGGAAGGGCTGGGTATTGAGCGCAGCTGGGAAGGAGCCATCAGAGGTGGATTCAAGCAGACCGAGCTCACTGAGGTTTATTCAAAGTCAACTGAAATTGATGGAAATGGGCAATAAAACTGATCATTTAAATGCCAGATATTCTTAGCACCTGGCTCATGTCAACCTGAGTCCATCTGTTACGATATTTCAGGCAGGGCCTGCTTGCTGAAACAAGCTCAAGCTTAGTCAGGTTGTGGAGAAAAAAAACAAACAGATCAGGTCAAGTTGAGAGAGGATTAACTTTCTACTAGGGCTTTTCTGTGTGTCTGCGTCTTTTTCTCTGTTATTGCTACTGAGCTTATGTGGCACTAAATCAAAAAAATAAATTCCAGTGGCAGGACAGAATTTTTGTTTCGATTTCCTCATTTGAAAGGAAGCTGGGGTACAGCTATCAAAACTTTCTCACTTCCTGACGCTTTCTGCCTGCTTTTCTGCTCCTCCTCAGCTGGTGGCTTCAGCCTGCTGCCATGAAGGTGGCTGTCCTTTCAATGCCCAGGAAACAAACGTTTATGTATTCGTGAGATGCGTATCAGAATAAACTAAAGTAAATACCAGAGAGCGTGACAAATGGATATAGTCATCACTACTACATTTTAATCAGGAGCTGTGTTTTGAGGTGAAAATGCTTTAAAAATTCTTATCATGGATAAAGCCAATGAATAAATTCTGATACTTTAATTGT